CAGACCAGGGAATCTCGTTTCTCAGTCGGAGTTTGCACAAAAGCACCTGAATGACTCTCAAAGTGGGCTTTCATGAGTTTTTGCACAGAGAAGAGGCTTTTGTCTAGACACTCTGCCAAAAAGCCCAGATCAGGGTAGGGCTGCTGTTTTTGTGATTGTTGTCCTTCTGAACCCTTGACAGCACCTTCTCTACACAGGATCTTTTAAGCTCAGAGTGACCATTGGGTTCTTAGTCATCTTAGGCTCTTCAGCCCAATTTCCAAGAGCTGGTTGCCTGGCCAAACTAAGCAGAGTCTTGGTTGTGACAAACTTCTTCCATTTGAGGATTGGCCACTGTGCTCTTGGGAATCTTCAGTGCAGCAAACATTTGTTGTAGCCCTCCTCCAGATCTGCACCTTGCAGTAATCCCATCTGAGCTCTGCAGTTCTTTTGACCTCATGACTTTGCTCTGATACAACAGTATGCATGGTCAGCTGTGAGGCCTTTTATAGAGGAGTTTGCCTTTCTAAACCATGTCCAATGTTGATTTACCCCAGGTGGACTCCAATCAAGGTGTAGAACCACCTCTGCAACAATCAAGAGAAATGGGAGGCACCTGAGCTAAATTTTAGGTGTTGTCTGTATTAAACTGCACTATTACATTGGCATTCTGCAACATTCCTAGAATTCGGTTTTCAAATTTGTCATGAGTACCAACAGTAGATTAACCCCTTAGTGACTGAGGGTAAAACAAGTGTTACTAATCCTGTAACTCTGCATGCACTAGATCCAGTCTTCCACAGCACACATGGAAATGGTTATTTTAGGAAATATAAAACTACTAAATACATTCTGAGCAGTCTGGTGACTTCACCAGTGTTCAACGAGACACTGATAGAAAGCTTGTAGGAGGCGTTTATTCTGCTCTTACGAGGCTGCATAACCTCTGGCACAGGGCCAATAAGCACTGTCTAGACAATCACATGCACCCTTAAACGCTCTATCTATACACACCAACCTGAGCATTTGCAGCGACTCCTACTGTCCCCAATCAATCTGCTAGTAGAACAGAGAAGACAAGATCAAAACAGCCTTTTACACACATTGAAGGATTAACTCCTTAGATTCCACAGGGAGTATGACAAGCAGGCTTTACCACATATACAGACTCTTTTTACCAGTGAGCTTAGTAACACTAATGCCTGAATGCAGTTTGGCGATTTTATATTGTTTTACAAACACGTCAGAGTTGCAAACTACTTTGTTCATTGAGGTGAACTAGACCCTGGTTTTTTTTTTTTGCAGGATTTTTTTTCCCCCTCAAATAAAAAAATGTAAAATTGGCCCAAAAAGCATAAATAGAAAAATTTACTGTATATTTCTTGCTACAACTATAACCTACCACCAAAGAACCCCAAAAAAATATTTCTCCAACCGATTACAGCAATACCATATTTCTTATTTTAGAAGCCAACTTTGAGTTTGCCTGCAGACATGGGAGTTTGGAAAAGATTTCAGTTTTTTGACCTCATGGCTTTTGTTCTTATACAGGATGCATAGTCATCTTTGAGGCCTTTCTAAATGCTGTCCAATCAATTTAATTTTACTACAGTTGGACTCCACGATGTAGAAACAGCTCAGCAATGATAAAGATAAATGGGAGGCACCTAAGCTAAAAATTGCAAGTGTTGTTGCCAAGGGTCTAAATACTTTGTCCAATGTGATATTTTTAAGTGCTTTTTTTTTTTTTTTTTTTTTTAGAAATGTTTGTATTGTACTTTGTCATGTTGTGGGCTACTGAGTGTAGATTTATAAAAAAAAAAAAAAAAAAAAAAGTGAATGGGGTTCTGAATTCAGGAAGTAAAAAAAAAAAAAACCAAAAAAACACAGGGGCAGGAACCACAGTGATAGCCAGAGGCTATCACAGTGATCAGGTAATGCAGAACTGGACGCCCTGGGGCCTGATCATTAGTATGGGACCCAGGGCTCCTGGTAAGCTTCTCTGTGCTGGGAAGACACTGTGGTGCACTCCCAGCACAAAAGCATATACAGTTATGTGGAAATAAAAGCTATTATAAACACAAATTTTTCAAAGGATTTTGAGCTTTGCAATGTTCCCAGTGCATTTGCATGTAAATAGAGTACAGTATTCCAAATCAAACAAACTGAAAACTTTAGGATTACTTTACAGAAAATGAAAGTAATTAGGCTGTTCAGTTTATACAGTAAATGTTTGAGTTTGTAAAGAATGCAGACATGTTTTTGAGTTTGTAAAGAATGCAGACACTGTTTTTGAAGAATGCTTGAAGATTTAGCTTTCCTGTGAATCACTGAATCTTTAGCACTTCTCAAACAGTGGTTATACAACTAAACATCTGTGTTGCATGGAGTCGACCAACTTCTGGCACCAGTGATCAGATATTCCAGGTCAGGACAAATTGAGGTTAAACCTAGAAATGCAGAGGAATTGTGTGATGACATCAAAAATGCTGTTTGCAGTACATTCCACAAGTCTTCAGTGGGTTGAAGGTCTGGAGATTAGGCTGGCCACTCCGTAACAATCTTGTAGGTCTGGAACCAAGATGCTGCTTGCTTAGTGGTGTGTTTGGGGTCATTGTCTTATTGAAAACGCCCATTTCAAGGGCATTTCCTCTTCGGCATAAGACATGACCGAGTGTAAGGGACCGCCCGGCGGTACCACTAGCACTCCACTGAAAAGGCGTCCCCAGCGCACGGAATCTAAGTCCCAGAGTGCTTGTTCACCAGGGCCCCTGATGGTGGGGATGGACTTGGAGCACCCCGAGACCAGGTCGTGGCTACTGGGTATGTCCGTCAGTGGTATGCGCCGAGGGCTCCCACGGGAAAGAGTCTGATATGAGGAGGTCTGAAGACCCCACTGCAAGGGATGGATGGATGGTTGAGCAAGGTCAGACAGGCCGGATCGGTAACAGAGAGGACGGTATGGTACAAGGCAGCGGGCAGAGAATAGTCGGGTCACACGCCAGGTCAGCAACAGCAGGTCAGATCCAATAGGGGGCATCCAGGAGAGAGGTCAGACAAAGCAAGGGTCAGGACAGGAGAATATGGCAAGGTCAGGTACAATCTGGGTCAAAACTCACAGGGCACAGGTTTGCAGTATCAGGAATGCAGCCAAGACCAGAAGGCACTGAATGACAGCTCAGGGCCGTTTAAATATCGTGCCCTGCGCTGCCATTGGTGCCCAGCGGGCGGCCGCGGCTTCTACTGCGCACGCGAACTCGAACGCCATGGCTGGCCCGGACCTAGTACCCGCGTCCCTGCACAGGGCGGCGCACTGAGCTGGGACCATCGCTGCGGTGATCGTGGAGATCCCTGACACGAGTATTTTGATGTAGTCGAACTGATCCATGATATGCAATAAACAGGCCCAACACTGTAGTATGAAAAGCATCCCCATATCATTGATGCTTGTGCCACCATGCTTCAGTGTATTGGGGCTTGAATTCAGTGTTTGGGGGTCATCTGAAACGGTTCTTTTTGGGTCTACAGGCTGCAATCTTGCTCTCATCATTCCACAAAATGTTGTGCCATTTCTCTTTAGGCCAGTCAATGTTTTTTTTTGGAAAACTGCAACCTCTTCAGCACATTGCTTTTTAACAATGGTACCTGGTAGGGGCTTCTTGCAGATAGGAGTCTGGTCAAAGTTATTTGAGTACTGTAACAAGTACACTTGAGCTAATGGTTGGCAAAGAAGGTCTGTTTGCCATGTTGGCTATTCTTCGATCCATTTGAATGGTAGTTTTCAGTTTTCTTCCACATCTTTCTGGTATAGGTTGCCATTTTAAAAACATTTGAGATTTTAGCGGAGCAACCCCATCAGTTTCTGCACTTAGGTATTCCCCTCTTCAATCGTTTTAATCAAATGACACTGTGCTCAGAATTTTCAAACCTGGTTAAGAACAACGAGTCATTCCAGAGAGAAATGCACTATAGCCAGCACGTAGAACATTGCTGCCTTTATCCTTAAATAAGGACCACCTGTTTTTTCACAGATTAAATGGCCTCATTAATTTAACTCCACACTATTATTTTGAACACATCCCTTATAATTAAGGATTCAATTACACAGAATCAGCAGCATGCATGTCCTGACTGTTAGGTGGGTTTTCTATTACTCTGCTACAACAGATCCACTAGTAAATTTGCCATGTAGAAATACAAACTTATACCAAAAACAGTGATTGATATGGTTGGTGATGTTGGACTGCTATTTGTTTGAACACAACTGTATGCTGCCACAAAAAAAAAAAAAAAAAAAAAAAAAAAAAAAAAAAAAAAAAAAAAAAAAAAAAAAAAAAAAAAGAAGCCCAGTCTAGTGAAGCTGAAAATGTTTCTCGTAACCCCTTCCTGCTGACAGCATGCATATATGCAAAGCATTTTTACATAGGGGTATATTGTAGGGGTTTTGGATTATTAAAAAGGAGGATTGTATTGTGGTGAGCTTGTATTATTTCGAATCCACTGAAAACAATTTTCACACACTGAGACAGGCTACTCAAAGTTGTTTTATTTCAAAAGCTTGGATAGCTTCAAAATGTTATGGAGAATCCGCACATGTAAAATACCTTACAATACATTAGAATCCAAAGAGGTACCAAAAAGTACAGTAAAATTAACACTTCCAGAACTGGAAATGTATGACACAAAACAATACAAAATAAAAAAAAGTGAAAAAAATGACACTGGTTCCCTAGGACAAGTTGTTCTGTACAACTGGAGTAACAGAGTCCATACTTCACTCCAAGAGGCAGTCCCAAGACGCAGAGCTGCAGTTTTAAGCAGACCCCAATCAGTTCAGTTTTTTACCTAGTGATAAAATCGGCAATTAATCTCTTGCAAAAATGATTAACATCTGAACAGATCCAGGGAATTACACATGATAGTCTAACAAGTCAGTTTGTACTAATTAGGTGTAATACAATATCCAGTCAGAATTCCATATTCTCTGCAACGCTGACACTGCCACCGCATACCTGAAGTGTTCAATATGGCTTGTAATTATTTTGATGACCACGTCTAGGGGCTTTTCCATAGCTTGCACTGCCCTGACCTAAAAAAGCAAAAAAAAAAAAAAAAAAAAAACCAGTTAGTTTGTGGAATGACTTGAAGACAGCAGTCCCCAAACAGTCACCATGAAATTTAACAAAAAACTTTAGCAGTTGTGCAAAGAGTGGGCAAATATTGCAAACTGTAGATTTACAAAGTTAGAGACATATCCCAACAGATTAAAGGCTGTAAATAAAAGCAAAAGGTGGTTCAACAAAATACTGACAAGGGGGTGATCCCCCCCCCCCAAACTTATTCTTTATAATAAAAAAAAAAAAAACCCACAACATGGTGCTATATCTTTCAGTTGGATGTTATAAGTTGCAATGAGTAAAAACTGGATAAAACAAAAATGGTCTTCGCTTCAGGCTGCAAAATGTGATTTTAAGAGGGCGTTTGTCTATACCCACTGTAAATGCTATAAACTACTTTTAGTAAGAAATGGATATTTCCTATTAAATTCACCTTCACCCTCAAGTTCTCCCCCAATTTCTGCATCTTCATATCTAAGATGAGTCCGATCTGTTGTGCTTTCAAATATCAATTGTAAGTGGTAAAGTAAATGGTAACTTCCCTTGGTCAAATAGTCGTGTGCTGAAAGGCATCATTTACTTTATCAGGATGACCGCCATCAGCTCACACTATTTCCAAGTCCTGCTCTTTCAAAGATCAGTGGAAAGTGATAGTCATTTCCAAATCATCCCAACTGTATATTTTGCAGAAACTTAGCTGGCATACAATTTATTACCATACTTGTCTCGCAGCACAACTTCTGGACCAAGGAAAGTCAAGCATGGTAGGACTGAGCACACAACACTACCACAAAATGTGTCATCACTTGGGGATTGGGCAGAAATCAACAGCTAGGTAAACACATGGAAATGTGGAAAATGATGCCTAACAGTCCCATTTACAATGATTTCAACTTTCTCCTTTCTCCTGAGACTTGAGTAAGGAGAAAGGAGAAGAAGAACACATGGAAGGTGGATGCCTTCTCTGAATTCTGCTCCTAAGGACAAAAGACATGCCAAGAGAAGGAAGATTTATACTAAGCTGGTAGCTTTGTTTGCCAGTGTCAAATTCCCCATAGCCAGTACAACCTAGTCTGAGTTGCAACAGTCTGGAGTGAAAATTAATATAGAAGGATCACCTTGAATAAGGCGGTAGCCTTAAAACCCAGCACACTTGTGCAGAAGCTAATAGAAGTATATTCCAGGGAACTTTACTCTTGACAAAAGAAGAAAAAAAAAAAAAAAAAAAAAAAAAAAAAAAAAAAAAAAACACTTGTGCCAGGGCTGAAACCAGGACATGGCAGATTCAGCTGGTGCAATGACTCCAGGGTCAACTTACTGATATTGAGGACCAAGACAAAATCCTGCAGGACCTGCACCATCTGTAGCACAATGGCCCCAAGTCATTGGATTCCACATTCACTTAACTAGTTTGAATGTAGCGCAGCATTTATATGGTCTATATTCACTTGATCACTGGTATATGATTTAATGCTAGCAGCTGTTTGGGGTTCATATATTTAATTTGTTTCAATTGTTTAAACACATAATTTGGAGCGCAGGAGGGTCACACCACTATTACAATGGCCCCAAGGCCATCTCTCCACTGCTTCCACAGAAGCAGACTCAGACACCCCAAAATTGGAGTCCCATAATCTCACCGGAGAGCCTGAGAAAAAGGCCAGCGCCTTTATGAATACTTGGCCATGGCCAAGCTAAAAAGGCAGAGCCACAAATGTTCCCCCTAAAGCGTAGATGGCGCTGAGGACATGACATGAGAATGTGGAGCAGGAATCCTTTATGTCCAGAAAATCCCCCAGAGGAAAGGAAGCAACCACTTACTATACAGGCTCCAGACCAAAACATTTTGAACAAATTGTTCAAGTGCTTCAGATCCAGAAGTGGCCACATGACAATTGGCTTGGGCACCATGAACAGTGCTCTCGGTCAAGCCAAAAGGTTAATAAACCTCAATATTTAAGAAGAAAAAAAAAAAAAAAGATTTTTGCTCTCTTAGAATATCTATTTGTGCACAATTAATGGGCAACTATTAGTGTGCAGAATTATGCAACTAGATGAAAATAAACAAGTAAAATGGGAACATTTTAACTCCATCTGTTAAATGGAAAATAAAAACTTATCAAAATTAATAAAACATTTAAAAACTAAGTGACCAATATAGCCACCATTCTTTTCAATAACAGTCATAAGCCTTCCATTCATATTCATGGAGCGTCAGTTTCTTGATATGTTGAAAATCAACTTTTCGTGCAGCAGCAACCACAGCCTCCCAGAGACACTGTTCAGAGAGGTACTGTTTTCCTTCACCGTAAATCTCCTGTTAAAGAAGGGCCCACAAGTTCTCAACAGAATTTAGGTCAGGTGAGGAAAGGAGCCATGTCATTCTTTCATCTTTAAGGCAGTTACTGGCTAGCCATGCAGTGGAGCACTTAGATACATTCGTTGGGGCATTATCCTCCATAAATATGATGGTTGTCTTGAAAGATGCAGACTTTCCTGTACCGCTACTTGAAGAAAGGGTCTTCTAAAAACTGGCAGGTTTGGGAGTTGATTTTGAGTTCACCTTCAATCCAAAAAAGGTCCAACTAGCTCATCTTTAACAATATCAGCCCATACCAGTACCCCACCTCAAAGTGGAGCTCTGTGCCCATTACTGATCCAGCCATGGGCCCATCCATCTGGTCCATCAAGAATCACTCATCATCAGTCCATAAACACTCAGAAAAATCTTAAAAACGTCAAGACTGGGCCAAGAAATATCTTAACTTGTGCATCTTGTTCAGTACAAAGACTTGGCCAAGGTATGGAAGGCTGAAACCTGACCACCACTGAACACTTTATACTTCTAAGTACTCCAGATGGGTTGCAGTTCAGGAATATGACAGCACTGGAAGATAATTGGTTCCTAGTAGCTTCCCATATCTTTGGCAGTTCATTTGTGTCTTCTCAAACACAATTTCTTGCAACCCTGTTGACTTTTGTGGGGGGGGTTTTTTGCACACCTTAGATAGTGGGGCATGCTAACAGAACCATTAGTCTTGAGGGATGCAGCACTCTTGAACTTGTAAAGTCAAAAATTGCAAATAGAGTCAAATTAAATTTTTTTGGCCCATTTTGCTTGAGGAAAAGAAGCTGCCCAACTATGCACACCTTGATATAGGGTGTTGATCTCCTTAGGGCACACCCTCCCACATTACACAAATACACTTTACCTGATATGCTTAAATCCAATAAGCATTCAAGTTCATACAGCTTGGAGTTGAATAACCATAAAAAAAAAAATTATACTCACTTGCCTAATTGTGCAGACAGTGTAATGTGAACCCAGGCATCAGAGATACACTATATTACCAAAAGTATTGGGATGCCTGCCTTTACACACACAAACTTTAATGGCATCCCAGTCTTAGTCCGTATGGTTCAATATTGAGTTGGCCCACGCTTTGCAGTTTTAACTCTTCTGGGAAGGCTGTCCACAAGGTTTAGAACGGTTATGAGTGTCTATGGAATGTTTAACCATTCTTCCAGAAGAGCATTTTTGAGGTCAGGCACTGATGGCGGACGGGAAGGCCTGTCTCAGTGTCCACTCCAATTCATCCCAAAAGTGTTCTATTGGGTTGAGGTCAACCATGTCTTTATGGACCTTGCTTTGTGCACGGTCATTTTGGAACAAGGGGCCATCCCTAAACTGTTCCCACAAAGTTGGGAGCATGAAATGGTCCAAAATGTCGACGCCCTAAGAGTTCCCTCCACTGGAACTAAGGGGCCAAGCTCAATCCCTAGGGGGGGGGGGGGGGGGAAACTCAAACCATAATTTCCCCTTCAACAAACTTTACACTTCGCACAAACGCAGTCAGGAAAGTACCATTCTCCTAGCAACTGCCAAACCCAGACATGTCCATCGGATTGCCAGACCGAATCGTGATTCGTCACTCCAGACACTTCCCCATTGCTCTAGAGTCCAGTGGTGGCGTGCTTTACACCGCAGCATCCAAAGCTTTGCATTGCAATTGGTGATGTAAGGCTTACAGGCAGCTACTCTGCCATGGAAACCCATTCCATGAAGCGCTCTACGCACTGTTGTGCCAATCTGAAGGCCACACAGTTTGGAGGTCTTTAGCTTTTGACTCTGCAGACAGTTGGCAATTTCTGCACACTTCAGCATGCGCTAATCCCACTGTCATTTTGTGTGTTCTAACACTTTGTGGCAGAGTTGCTGTTCCCAGTTGCTACTAAATATTCCACAGCCAACTGTTAGTGGTATTATACCAAAGTGGAAGCAAGGAAATTGCACGGATGGACTTCAAGCATGGTACTGTGACAGGTTGCCACCAGTGCAAGATTTCCTTGAGCTCCTGAAAGCAACCCATTCCTTAACAAAATGTTTGCAGAAGCAGGCTGCAAACCTAGGTGCTTAATTTTTTTACACCTGTGGCCATGGAAAAATGATTGGAGCACCCAAGTCCAATAATTTGGAGGGGTGTCCCAATACGTTTGGCTATATACTTAATCTCTGGTCCACCTGCAGAAGTGGGGGGAATCCTTCTGTAGATAGGTGGTTTGTTGCCCATCTTAGCAAGCTTGTGGCTTCAGGACTTTAAAACAAAAAAAACACACACACACTTAGCCCAAAAGCTATTTCACCCCTGAGATGGCTTCTGCCAGTTTATAGAAGCACGCAGGATTATTTCTACCTTTAAAAAGACTACACATCTAAGAAATCACCCTAGTGTTTATTTCTAGTTAAATTGTTTTTTCTATTTGATAGTTTATTCAAAATAAAAATAGCCACTAATGCACCCAAACATGCTCATATCTGGAATAACTTATAAATGCAGCATTACAATATAGTAAATTACAAAATTGTAAATCACAAGTGTGAATAAGTTCATTTGTCTTCAATGAAAGGTTTCCATCCTTTTCTTGGAGCACCAAGTGCTCCAAACCATAAAAGTGAAAATACTCAGCGACC